AGCCCGTCCTCAGGACAGTGCCAGTTGTCAGCCTGTCCTCAGTACAGGACACATTTTCAAAAAGAGATTGCAAAGTGTCAAAACCCATATAAATTTACCTCACAAAGAACTTTAATGTATACCAAACATGGGGCGCCTGCGTGGCTCAGTTGGTTAAGCGACTGCCTTCGGCTCAGGTCATGATCCTGGAGTCCTGGGATCGAGTCCCGCATCGGGCTCCCGGCTCAGCAGGGAGTTTGTTTCTCCCTCTCATGCTCTCTATCATACTCTCTCTCTCAATAAATAAATAAAAACCTTTAAAAAAAAAAAAAAGAACTTTGATGTATACCAAACAATATGAACAACAAAGCAACAATCAGGGATCAGGGGATGGAGGACAGAATGCAGACTATGACAAAGGAATTTAACTGTATTACAAATGTTTGAGTTAACCTCACTGAAAAGTTAACTCACTGACCTAAGTAACCTTACACAGGGTTTTGAGTGAAAACTGTAAGACTAAAGGTACAAAGACGTGTACCTAAGCACTGCATACTAGCCGATGAAGTTGTTTGTCACGGAGGTACAGGTTAATATTAAATTCTGAAACTGTCTTATATATAACTGGGGTGAAAAGGGTAAGTAAATGGATGGTGGATAGTGGGAGCCTCTATTAACATGGATGTTTAAGACAGAAATTTGAATACCATCACTGATTTCTTCCTTTCCCTCAATTTTCATATTCAATAAATCGAGTTGCATTAATTATTTCTCCTTTGTCTCTTAAGAATCTGACTACTTGGGGTGCCCGGGTGGCTCAGTTGGTTAAGCGTCTGCCTTCAGCTCAGTTCATGATCCCAGAGTCCCGGGATTAAGACCTCCATCAGGCTCCCTGCTCAGCGGGGAGCCTGCTTCTCCCTCACCCGTGTGCTCCTCCCCTGCTGGTGCTCTCTCTCTCTCTCTCTCAAATAAATCTTAAAAAAATTTTTGAAAAAAAAAAAACAAAAGAATCTGACTACTTTTCAGGATGCCTGGATGACTCAGTCAGTTAAGCATCCGACTCTTGATTTCAGCTCAGGTCATGATCTCAGGGTCATGAGATCGAGCCTCGTGTCAGGCTCCGTGCTCTGTGGAGTCTGCTTGAGATCTCTCTCTCCTCCCTCTGCCCCTCCCCCTGCCTGAGTGAATGCACTCGCATACTCTAATAAATAATACAATCTTAAAACAAAAAGGGAATCTACTTCTCATCACCCATGTCACCTTCCTGGTCTAAGCCCAAGTCACTATCATCTAATGCCAGAGGACTGACTGCAACAGCCTCCCAACTGGGTGGCCTAACTCTACACTCATTCCTAGGAAGCCATTCTCCGTATCATAGCCATAGAATTAATACAAAATATAAACTATCTTATTCCTATTTTTAAAACTTTTTAATAGCTTCTCACTGCCCTAAAGTCTAAACGCCTTAATTTGACTTACGAGAGCCTACCACCCCATTCTGATCCATTCCTAATTCTCTCCAGGCTCTGTTCAGTACCCAGTCACCATGTCTATTTTAGTCACCACTGTATTTCCAATACTTAGTACAGGTAGTATTAATTCTTTGATCTCTATATGAATGCTACCTCCTCAGTGATAGGCTCTATTTACTTTATGCATGAATTGAGGCTAGCCCTGTGATGGATTTGAGTAATTGAATACATTGGAAGTGATGTTCTAGAACTTCTGAGCCCAGGTTTTAACAGGTCTGGCAGTTTCTGCTCCATCTTAAAACAGCTGCTATGCTGGGAGGAACCCAAACCACATGAAGCAGAATCCTCAGACTCTGATCAACAATTCCAGTTGAGTATCCAGTCAACAGTCAGTACCAACTGCCAACCATGTAACCGCCTTGCAAGTTTCAACCCAGGTGAGCCCCCCAAATGGCCACCATCTTAACTGATATCACTTGGAGTGGAAGAGCCTCCCAGCCCAGTTCAGTCAACCCACTGAATCGTTAGATATTAAAAAAAAAGTTTGTGGTTTTAAAACATTAAGTGTTAAGGTAGTTTCTTTCACAGCAATATGAGCATATTTCAACATGGGTTGAAATCCCATTCTTGGTACCAATTTCATCTATTGGTACTTAACAAATTACCCCAATAAGCTCCGTATCTTGATGTGAGCAACACCATGCAAGTACAGTGATGGGAGGACTTGCGAGGAGCCATCATTGTAGAACAGTTACTATAGCACATGAGAAATATATAATACCTGTAAAAAACGTATACACATCTGTCCTATATTTTACACTTCATTTCTTTTCTTTTCCAGATGTAGATTTAAAATTGTTCTTAATGAAAAAGAGATGTTAAATCAGTCACCTGTTAAACTCTAACAGATGGAATCAAATATATTTTCCCAAGGTTCTTTTGAGAAATCTCTTCCTATGGTACACAACTGGGGACCAACCAAAACCATGAAATACAGAACAAAAGTATATTAAAATCTCTGTTCACATAAGCAGTCACTTGCTCTCCCTGTGCTGTAACTATATTAAAATGTGAGGGGCAGATTATGTAAAGAATTATGCTTATATTTTGACAGGTTCCCCCACTGATGATATGGCCAAGAGTGGTAAGTTTTCAATTAGCAATAATCGCGCCTCGGATAAACCTCATTGGCTACGATACTGCCACTGCGCAAAGCTGCCAAGAGTGGTAAGGATGAGAAGCAAAACCAGTATCCTGGGAGTGAATATGTAAATATTTGTTAAACATCTGAGTGAAAAGTAAACTACTGGAACATAGGATCAGTTAGCCAAAAAATGAAAGAGGAAAAGGAAAGAAACTGCTTCACAGCTGAGCATTTGCGATACCTCTTACACCTTGCATGGTCATCTATCACATGATTTGGGTCTAAGAGGTTCCTAGGTATTACAGGAATTTGATGTGTGAAACCTGCAGGGTTTCTTATAGGAACAACTATTTGTATTCTGCTTTGCAATTATTAAGCATCTAAACACAGGTGCCTAGTGCACTCTAGAAATTATAAAATTAGAAACAAGTTACAGGTAACAACACTACCAATTTCATTATTTTTAAGTTCCAGTCAAGATCCAGATACTATCCTAAGTTTGGCATTGAGAAAACAAAGAAAAGGCAGATACAGGGTAATTCTTTCAAACTTAAAAAATTCCAAAACTACAAAGAAACTCTGGAAGACTCTATTTCAAGAGAACAGAGAACACTGACAAAAATTGCTTCTTCTATGTAACACATTACATAATCTCTCTTTGTTAACTGGTTTAAATGTCTATTTTAGACCGTCCCACATGAACTCTGATCCTCTTTGCTTGAAATTAAATCCTATACTAATTTTCTAAAACTAGGACACATTTCTGCTTCTTAAACCTATCATAAATGGCACTTTTTTTTTCCTATTAGGGAGATAATGCCTACCCTTCCCTATACACACTCGTGGTGCCACTCCCCATCCTGACCGTGAAGTTTTACACTTTAAGTTGGTTTTTGTCAATGTCTCCTGTATGAAATTTCTCCTGAAAGTCTTCAGCTAGAATGGACTACTAACTCCCCGGTCCCCCCCACCCTTGTTTCCCGACACAGGTTTCTTTCATAGCACCTTTAAAGCTTTATTCCACTTGCTTATTTGTGTGCTGTGCCAGGGAATCAAGTTATTGCCTTTCAGCTCAAAATTCATCTTTTGATAAATACTCTGTGATAATGAATGAAACTGCTTTAAGCATTTCTCCTTACAGTGAGCCTAATGTTAAGCCTTCTCAATAGAGGGTGCTGGACGGACACTGCAGGAGGAAGGGATTTCTCTGGCAAACGTTATGCTTGATGAAAAGACAGGATGCTTTTGCCCTAAGATCAGGAACAAGATGAGGATGTCCATTCTTGCTACTTCTAGTTAACATCATACTGCAGGTTCTAGCCAGGGTAATTAGGTAAGAAAAATAAACAAAAGGTAAAAGGATTGGAAAGAAAAAAATAAAACTATATCCACCCTCAGATGACACAATGTTGTATATAGGAAATCCTAAGGAATCCACTAAAAAAAATTTTGGAACTATTAAATGAATTCAGCAAGGTTGCAAGATAAAAAATCAACATATAAAATCAAGTGCATTTAATTATAATAAACAATCTGAAAAAATTAAGAAAACAATTACATTTACAGTAGCATCAAAAAAGTAAAATGTTTTGAAATTAGCAAAAGAAGTGTAATATTGATACTCTGAACACACTGTTGAAAGAAATTAAAGATATAAATAAATGTAAAAAAACTCCTACGGTCATGGATCAAAAGGCCTAATATTGTTAAGGCAGTAATTGATCTACAATTCCATGCAACCCTATCAGAATCCTAGCCGGTTTCTTTGTAGAAATTGACATGCTGATCCTAAAATTCATACAGAAGTACAAGATACACCAAATACCCAAAACAATCTTTAAAAAGAACAATATTTGAGGACTACACTTTCTGATTTCAAAACTTACTACAAAGCAATGGCCAAGACAAGCGTGATACTGGCATAAAGATAGGTATACAGAATTCCATCAAAGTACCAAGATCATGCAATGGGGGAAAGAATGGTGCTGGGACAACTGGACAGCCACATGCAAAAGAACGAAACTGGACCCTTACCTCACACCATACATTAACTCAAAATGATCTAAATGTAAGAGCTAAAACTACAAAATTCTTAGAAAAGAAAATAGGGATAAATTTGCATGACCTTTGATTTGGAAATGGGTCCTTAGAGGTTTGATACCTAAACCACAAGCAACAAAAGAAAAAGTAGATAATTGGACTTCATCAAAATTAAAAACTTCTATGCTTCAAAACTACCAAGAAAATAAAAAGACAATCCAAAGAATGGGAAAAAATTTTGCAAATCATGTATTTGATAATAAACTTATATCTAGAACATATAAAGAACATTTACAACTCAAAACTACAAACAGAAATAACTCAATTTGAAAATGGGCGCTGAATCTGAATAGGCATTTCTCCAAAGAAGATATACAAGTGGCCAATAAGTACAGAAGATGCTCCACATGATTAGTCACCAGGGAAATGCAAATCAAACTCACAATGAGATACCAACTTATACACAAATGTTCACAGCAGCATTTCTTAATAATATCCAGATAATTATTACTAACAATCCAATATTCATCAATGGATGGGTGCATATATGAAATGTGCTATATCCATACAGTAGAATACTATTTGGTAGTAAAAAGGGATGAAGTACCAATACATGCTTCAACATGGATGAACCTTGAAAACATCACGTTAAGTGACTGAAGCCAGTCACAAAGGTCACATATGATTACATTTACAGTAAATGTCCAGAATGGGCAAATCTGTGGAGGAAGAAAGTAGCAGTGGCTCCTTTAGGGCTGAGGAAAATGGGGAGGAACAGATAGGTGACAGCTAGAGGTGATGAAGATGTTCTAAAATTGAATAAATCAAGTATCTGTATATATATTAAAAAACACTAAGTTATACACTTTAAATGCTTGAATTATATGGTATATGAATTATATCTCAATAAAGCTGTTATTTTTAAAAAAGTCACCAAACAAAAGGATAAAACAGCTAATGGAGATCAGAGGAGTGACTAACTGGGAGGGATTAAAAAGAAACTAGGTTAGCATGAGTAAAATCCCATTAAGGTGAATTTAAGGTGGTAAACCCTAAGTTGCTGAAATAAATTTCATTACAGCATAACTGCATCCCATAATGAGGGATTCTTTATTCATGGCACCAAACCTAAGACCGATAAAGGCAACTAGGACTGGCAGAGGACATGAGGGCATACACAAGAATGAGTGAGTGTGTGTGTCTGTGCATGCGTGTATGCACAGGTGCACATAGCAGAAGCTGTCTTGATTTGAGTTAAACCAAACTTTGTGACTTCAGGCACACCCCTTAAGCCCCCTGAGCTTCAGCTCTCTCATCTGTCAAACATCTACTTCACTTTCATGGGATTATTAAGAAAGAAAATATCTGTAACAAGATCTAGAAATTTGTTGAGGGTATCTTCCTATCTTTGTATTCCTGGCATAGTGTTTGTCCGATAATAGGTACTTAGTAAATACTTGTGGGACTAACTTCAAAAAACACAAATGGCTCTTGGAAAGGAGAAAATTAAAATATAATTATGCACTTTGATATGGACATGCAGGCCTCAAAAACCTTTACAAGTAAGAATTTTCACATGATATAGATATAGAAGCTTGATATAGAAGCTGTCAAGGCTCACATTATGCTCTTTTATGTGAAACCAGAAATTATTTTCTACCAGTAATTTAACAAATTACTGGTAGAAAAAAAGTTATTTGCAAGAACATTTCTGCGGTCCTCTCCACAATCCCTTTTAAGGTATCACTTCTATGTTTTGATTGTGTAAAATTTAACCCATTCTTAACCTCATATAGATGAAAAGAGACTATCACAGTGTGACTGTTGTCTCCACCAAGGGTCAGTAAAGTGTAGCCTGCAACTGGTCAACACGCATTCTTTTAGTACCGTTTACGGCAGAACGGGGTAGCTGAAACACAGACAGAAAGCCAAAACTTGATTGGGAAACAGGATGTTCTTAACTGACTTTTTCAAACTCCCATATCTAGTGGTAGGAATATAGACTTTATAAATAATTAAATGCAAAGAAGTGCTCTATTGTTTTGAAGGATGAATGCTTGGCCAACACAGAGAAACCAAAAAAGAGATCAGTTTGGTCCGGGTGGGAGAAGAGTATCTGCAGACAGAAGAGAATACGTAGGCTTGCCCCTGGAAGACTGAATAGGTGCCTTCTCAGCAGTCAACAAGGAGAGGAAGTCCTGTGAACACAGGCAAGGAGGCCTGACAGAGCACACCCTCGTGGAGCTAAATCCAGTCTCTCTGACTGGTGTATGCCAAGTGCACAGAGGGGTGTAGCCGGTGACATCGTGAACATTCTTGTAAACTATGCTCTATGGTTTAAAATGGGCACAGAAGTTAATAGCTACTATCTGCAGACAGTAAATGCCAGATGCTTTGGTCATAGCCCAAGACATGATCAAACAAGAATGATCTAGAGACAATTCATGGTCATTAAGATTTATAAATACAATCCTAGGAAAAACTTTTCTTTTTTTTTTTTTTTGGTAAGCTCAGCAAGGAAACCTTATAAGTCAATAATGAGAATAGCACAGAATGGACTCTCCAAATTGTTTTAATGAGAAACTCTCATCTTCAGGTACAATGGTGACAGTGCTCAGCAAAAGGGCTGTCTCTACAATGATCACAGGCATAGGCAATACTTGAGCAGGTAAGAGGACTTCTCTCAAAGCTTACTGCAATTGAGAAGGGGAAAGTCAGACAAGAACAATGGATTGAGAATATACAAGGAGGAAATAATTAAAATGTGTATTTCCAAACTGAAATAGGTTATTGTGATAAAATAACCCTTTCAGAGAATGGTACATGGTCCTTGGTCAACCTCAAGGCTCAGTGTACTCATATGTTGAAGAGTAATGAATTACGTTACCTACCTACACTATAGCATTGTTGTGAAGATTAAATGAATGAATACCCATAAGGCATTTAGAGCATGGCCGGCACACAGAAAGCACTGTGTCCACTATTATTAAGTTGCCTAATAAGTATAGCCTACAAAAGACTTATGCCTACTGG